AAGCCCCCAATTTTAAAAAACCATGCTCTTGACAAATTTTCCTTTTAAAATTCACATCAAACACACTGTTTTTTCACTCCCAATAGCCCAGATTTTTCCCCTTTCACTTAGCCCAATATGTAGCTGCAGGTAAGACTATTCTACCTCAAGATGTAACGACAGGAAAAAGAATAAAATAATGGTATCTGCATACTATTCTTTCTACACACTGCTACTGGATGGAAAATTTTAAAAAAAGAAGGGAAGGAGGATAAAAGGAAGACGAAAGAAAAATTCTGTCTTAGATTCTCACAGTCTCTTGTTCCGCAGTTCATGAATGCGACTCTGATGCTAAGGTGGCAATTTAAGTAGATTTTTGTTTTCAGTGAAGGAGACCTGGGAAAAGATGGTATTTATCTCATTCTCTTCAAGATTTATCAGAGGGTACATGCTCCTCAAAACCTTCACTCTTTCAAACTAAGGCACGTTCCTAGATCATAAATCCTTCCTTATAACATTGTCTGTCTTTAGTGGCAAACTCATAGATCCATCCCAGTTTGCTGTTGTAGTTTTTGCAGCTCCTATCTCAAACCATGTGACAGCCAGTGAGCATGACCCGATCTTGAACTTCCCTGTACTGCAGGTGATTGTTTTTGTTATGTGTTGTCAAGTCGCCTGCGACTCATAGCGACCCTATGTACAATAGCTTTGAAGCCTGCTCTGTTCTGAGCCAATTTCACTGACTCCAACACACTGACCCCCCATTATCTCAGTTACTGTATCAGTCCATCTCATCTGATGTCTTCCTCTCCTGAACTGTCTATCCACGCTTCCAAGCATGATGTCCTGCTCCAAGGATCAGTCCCTCCTGGCCACGTGCCCACAGTATGTGAGGAGGAGCTTCAAAATCCTAGCTTCCAAGGAGAAAATTGGTTTCACCCTCTCCCAGACAGACTTGTTCATTTTCTTGGTGGTCTATTCAAAGGCATCAGTTCTTCTGTCATCCTTGGCCATTGACTACCTTGTTAGCTCAACCAGTGATACCTGTGAAAGGAGTATAGATGATTTCTGAGGAGTTGCTCAGCATTGTATCACAGTTTGCCCAAGAAAACAGTTGAGAACCACCAATTTTAGTGTGATCTTAAAAATCCTGAGGGCTGTGAGATTTGTAGTTCGGTGCATCTCATTTCATCTCTGCTGAGATGAAGCCCTGTTTTATGTGGTGTGTTTTTTTTTTTTAAAGGTATTTTCAATGAAAAAATAATTTGTTATACAAAATTCTGTCATGTGATCTCCAGCCTCATTTCTGTCGCTTAGGCCATATTAGCCAACTAGAGTTATTTCTTTGTTGCTGCTAACTTTGGCATTTACCTACAGTCACCAGGTATTATTAATGAGTCTTTACTGCATATAATCAAGGACTGTAGCTTTCAGTGGATTACATCTTGACATCAAGAAAACGAAATCCTCACCACTGGACCAATGATCCAATGATAGATGGATAAAAGATTGAAATTGTAAAAAATTTCATCTTACTTGGGTCCATACTCAGCACCCCTGGAATCAGCAGTCAGGAGATCAAGAAACATACTACATTGGGAAAATCTGCTAGCAGAGACCTCTCCAAAGTCCTGAAGAGCAGTGATGACAGTTTAAAGATGCAAATCATGGTCTTTTTAGTTGCTTCGTATGTACCTGAAAGTTGGACAGTGAATAGGATGACAGAATTTCAGACAGACGGCAGAAAAGCATAGGAAAAAAAGACCAGTGGAAAGGATAAATTCAGGGAGGAAGTAGAAAGAGTAGTGTTGTGTTATGGGAATTTCATTTGGTTCTGACTTTAAAACTTCTTTACATTTCTTTTTTGTTTGTCGTTATTGCCCCACCTAACCCACACATACAAAAGGTTTACATAGTTGTTGATTGCCTTTGAGTCAAGCACCAGTCATAGTGAGCCTATGAACAAAAGGCTTGAAGCCCCTCTACAACTATCAACATTTATCAAAGTTCATAGAGTTTCTGGAGGCATGTTGTTTAGGAAGTGGATGCCACTCCTGCTTCCAAACCTGTCAGAGTATGTTATTGTTGTTTCGTGCCGTTGAGCCACCTATGATATATAGCAGCTCTGAACCCTTCCCTTTCCTGAGCCAATCTCACTAATTCTGACACACCAACCCTGATTGCCTCAGTCACTGTATCAATCCATCTCATTAGAAATCTTCCTCTCCTGTACTTTCTGTCTACCCGTCTGAGCATGATGTCCTGCTCCAAAGACTGATATCTCCTGGCCACGTGCCCAAAGTATGTGAGACAACTTCAAAATCCTTGCCTCCAAGGAGAGATTTGGTTTCACCCTAAGACAGACCTCAATTTGCTTTCTTGGTGGTCCATGGTATATTGAAGACTCTTCTCCAGCACCACAACTCGAAGGGATCTATTCTTCTAATATCCTTAATCATTGTCCAACTCTCTGACGCATAACAAGCAATTGAGAAGACCATAGTGTGAATTAGGTGCACCTTTGTATCTACACTGACATTGTTGCTCTTCAGCACTCTGGAGAGATCCATGACAGCAGATTTTCCCAGTGTAGTGTTGATTGTGGATCCGAGCAAGCTGTAATTGCTAACAATCTCAATCTCTTCTCCATCTAAAATGGTGCTGCCAGTTGGCCCAATGGTGAGAATCTTTGTCTTGATGTTGAGCTTCAAACCATATTGAAGACTAAAGTCCTTGACCTTTTGCAGCAAGTACAGTTGTGTCGTCTGCATATCGTAGATTGTTAATGAGTCTTCCTTAAATCTTTGTGCCTCACTCCTCCTCATAAAGCCCTGCTTCCTGAACTATCTGTTTTGCATACAGATTGAAAAGGTATGTGCACATCCATGTTTATCGCGGCTTTGTTCACAATAGCAAGGAGTTGAGAACAACCCAAGTGCCCACCAACAAACAATGGATAGAGAAGCTGTGGTATATTCACACAATGGAATTCTATGCTGCATTGAAAAACAAGGAACTCATGCAGTATTATTCAAAATGGGTGACCCTGGAGGACATTATGCTGAGTGAAATATCTCAGCCACAAAGAGACAAATATTACAGAGTGCCACTGTTGTAGAATGGACTGACATCAGGGTTGCGATAAGACTGAGAAAAATTGGATAAATTATGTATACTGCGTTGAAACAGATGAATGAGAGAACAGTTTAAAAGTGATATATGATAGGGTATTATGGTTATCACAAAAGTCCAGAATTAAGGCTGCATAGTGGAGTGTACTCAGGGTGGGAGGGGGGTAGATTGTATACCAATGAAGGAATTTTTCTTTTACTTTTCAAAGAGAGGAGCGAACTTGCAGGGAGGGGTGAGCAGGGAGAAAAGTACAACAATGAATGAATGGACACCTAAAATCTCTGTAAATGTTCATTAAAATTAATTTTTACAAAAGAAAAGAAGAAAAGGTATAGGGACAGGATGCATCCCTGACACACTCCTTTCCTGATTTTGAATCGAAGTTTTTTCTTCCTCTGTTCTGAGGACTGTTTCTTGGTCCAAGTATAGGTTTCACATAAGCACCATCAAGTGTTCTGAGATTCCCATTTTCCTCAAGGTTAATCACAATTATTGTGATCGACACAGTCAAATGCCTTTGCATAGTCAATGAAACACAGGTGGACATTCTTCCGGTACTCTGCTCTCTACCAACATCCATCCGACACTGGCAATAATATCCTTAGTGTCACGACCTCTTCTAAACCCAGCTTATATTTCTGGTAGTTCTCTGTCAGTGTACTGTTCAAGTAGTTTCTGGATAATCTTCAGCAGGATTTTGCTAGTGTGTAATATTAGTGATACTGTTCAATAATTTCCACACTCCATCGGGTTACCCTTTTTTTTGGAATAGAATAAATATGGATTTCTTCCAGTCAGCGACATAGCTGGCCTCCAGATTCCTCCAGATTTCTTGGCATAACTTGGTGAGCACATGCAGGACAGCTTCTGTTTGCTAAAATACATCAATTGGTATTCCATCAATTCCCGGGGCTTTAATTTTTTTGCCAAGTGCTTCAGATCAGCCTGAACTTCTTCCTTCATCACCATTGCCTCTTGATCATATGTTGTTTCTTGAAATTCTTCTATGCCAGCCAATTATTTTTGGTACAATGACTTTGTGTACTCTTTCTATCTTCTTTTAAGGCTTCCTAAATCATTCCGTATTCTGCCCATTGCGTCCTTAAGCATTGCAACTCATGTCTTGAATTTATTCTTCAGTTCTTTCAGCTTAATAAATGTTGAGCAGGTTCGGCCCTTTTGATTCTCCAACTCCAGCTCTTTGCACGTTTCATTATAATAGTTTGCCTTGTCTTCCCAAGTAGCCATTTGAAATCTTCTTTTGAGCTCCTTAACTTCCTGATTTTTTTCCCCTTTGCTTTGGCTTCTCAGCGCTCTAGAGCAATATTCAGAGTCTCTTCTGACATTTATTTTGGTCTTCTTTTTCCTTCTTTTTAATGATTTTTTTACATTCTTCATGAACAATATTCTTGATATCTTCCCGTAGCTTATCTGGTCTTCATTCATTAGTGTTCAAAGCCTCTAACTTATTCCTGAGTTGGTTTTTAAATTCATGGGAGATAAACTGAAAGTCAAATTTTTATTCCTGTGGATAGGATATAACCTTAGAAGGATTGGGAAATGAGGAGCAGGGAATAATGCTGTGGGATGTAGGAAGATGACTAGAATGTTAACTAAGATGAAGACAAGTACCTTCATGTCTCCATTGTAGCCCGACAGGCAAAGGCACAATGTTAGATTACACCTCACACTTTGCAGTCAGCAGCTAGAGAATGCAACACATGAGCACTGATACCCACTTCCATTTGTGGAATTTCGGTTCTCTTTTTTAAAAAAAAAAAAACCCACACAAAACAGTTTTAAGGTAAGAGATTCACATAAAGCAGATTTTATCTTCATGCATGGCATAATTTTATAGTATCTCTAATGACACCAGTGTTTGTCCTTAGGTGGATTTGCCGAGTTCTCTCGTTGTTTCCCCGGCCTCTGTGAAGGAAAATCCACCCTAGTCCCTACCTGCATTTCTCAGCCCTGCCTACCTGTTTCCAACATTGGGCCAACCAGAATTCTTCCCAATCTTTATCTTGGCTGCCAAGGAGATGTTCTCAACAAGGTGAGTACCTTGAAAATATTCTTCTTTGCAGAGTTTATTGTTAGCAGCTAGAGAAATTACAGTTACCTGTAAACTGTCGTTTTAAGCATGTCCTAACCCCAGAAAGGAAATATACTTCCAGTGTGATTCTACAATTAATAGATGTGCCATATTTTGAAATGTTATTTTGTTTGATGTTATTTACCAAACACAGGAAACCTAATTTGTTGTCATGTTTGTCTGGTCTCATAGTTCCAAGAGACCTGGAAAAGGATAAAATTTCTCCTAAAATTACCCTTGTTTTCTTAAGATGTAAATTGCTCCATTATAATGTCTGGGCACATAAATACTTTTCAAGAAGCATGTATACTTTCTAGGCTAGTCCTTCCTAAATTATTTCTTATGTTGTTTGTTGTTATGTGCTGTTGAATCACTTGCAACTCATAGTGACCCTATGTACAAGAGCCCTAAATCCTGCTCTATTCTGTGCCAACCTCATTGTTTCCAAAACACCTACTCCTGCTACCCCAATCACTGAATCGATCCATCTCATCAAGGGTCTTCCTCTTCTACACTGTCCCTCCATTCTCCCAAACATGATGTCCCTCTCCAAGAACTGGTCCCTCCTGGTAACATGGCCAAAGTATGTCAGATGTAGCTTCAGTATCCTTGCCTCCAAGGAGCAGCCTGGCTTCACCCTTTCCAGGACAAACCTGTTTGTTCTTCTGGCAGTCCATGGTATATTCAACACTCCAGCACCACAGCTCATATGCATAAGTTTCCTTTCTCTCATCCCTAGTCACTGTCCAGCTCTCTGATGCATAGCACACAATTGAGAAGCCCGGATCAGGCACACCTTAGTCTCCAGCCTGATGTCGTTGCTCTTTAGTCCACTGGAGTAGTCCCTGACAGCTGACTTTCCCAATGCAGTTTGTCTCTTGATCTCCTGGCTGCTGGTACCAAGAATGTTGACTGTGGAGCCAAGTAAACTAAAACTGTTATAAAAAGATATTTATTTCCTGTAGCCTACTAGAAATAATTGGGTTTGGATTGTAGAATATCCTTTTTTAAAAATTATTATTAAATTTTATTAGTTTTAATGAACATTTACAGAGATTTTGGGTTTTCATTCATTCATTGTTGCACTGTTTTCTCTACCCTCCTCCCCAGTTCATTCTTCTTCCCCCCCTCCGAATGTCTGTTTTAATTGTCCAATTGCCACAGTGCTTGTCGAAGCCAGTTCTGATTAATCTCCTTTGTCATTGTGTCCTTTGCCATTCCCTATCACTTCTCCCTGAGAGAGACTTCACCCTGATTCATAAGGAAAAGGGGATGGCGTATTCTCTTAGCTACTTCCTGCTGAAAAGGGACACTGTGGGTTTCAGGGTGAAGATCTTCTCTCACTACTCTAAAGGGCCCCTTTGGCAGTAGGAAACACATAGACTATTATGGAGATTGATTTTGGAATTCAGATGCACTCTTATTGATTGTGCTTGGTCGTACATGTTCATATCCTTGAAGATGTGTCATGGGGGTGTTGCAGCCTAGAAGACACAACTTTAACTAACAAGTTAAAAGTACATGAGTCAAAAATTAAAAAGCAATAATATTCCGAGTAGAGGTTCTTATAGTGGCACAAATCAAGTTACAGAGGGAAGGTGGTTCTTACAATAAAAGTCCTATAGACTAGCACTTTGTCTATATAGTGTAGAGGTTAGGGACCACAAGATGTAGAGGCTCAGCTATGTCATTTATGGTTCTTAAGTCCTGGAGCAAATTCCATCTACCATTGGGTTGTTTTACAACTCGGAAGTTCGCATACAAGGTAGAGGTGAAGTAAGGAACTGCTTATGAGTTCCGTTACTCTAACTTAATTTTTTTTTTTAATTTAAATTTGTTATTTCAGTGAAAATTTACAGAGGCTTTGGATTTCCATTCATTCATTGTTGCACATTTCTCCTCTCCCAAGCCTCCCCCCCAGAACACTACCCTCTTGGAAAAGTAAAAGAAAAAATTCTTTCATTGTTTTACAAACCCTCCCCCAGGTCCACTCCACCATGTAGCCATCGCTCTATGATTGCAGGATTGAAGGAGATAGTAAAAAGATAACAACTAAAGGCTTCGCTTTGTCTAAAGCTAGTTGGATCAGTTTCATTGAGAAAGAGGAAAGAACATAAATTTAGCAGAAAAAGGGTTATATTAAACAAAATGTGCCCTAAAAAAAGAACAATTAAATAAAGGCATATAATAAATTGTACAAGCATGAAAACATGAACTGTTTGGCGCCATCAAGTCGACTACAACTCCTAGCAACCCTATGAACACTGAATCTGAACTCCATCCTGCCCCATTTCACAATCCCTGGTATGTCTGAGCAAATTGTTATTGTGTCAGTCCATCTTGTTGAAGCTCTTCCTCTGTCTGGCTTTCCACTTTTCTCAGAATGAAGTCTTTTTCCAAGGACTGATCCCTTTTAACAGCATGTCCAAAGTATGTGAAATGAAGTTTTAATATCCTTATTTCTAAGGAGCACCGTGGTTGCACTTTGATATGTTTGTTGTTTTAACTGTCCTTGGGGTATTTGGTATTCTGCACTAACACTCAAAAGGCATCAGTTTTTCTATCATCCCATTAATTGTCCAACTTGCAGATGCATATAGGAAGCAACTGAAGATACCAGAACTTAGATCAGGCACATCTTAGTCCTCCAAGAAGAGAGAAGGACCATTCTGGGAACAGCAGATTTGCTTGGGTGTGATCCTCTTGATTTCAAAGGGTAGATTAGAAAGAGTTGATACTGGAGTACAGGATTGCCCTTAACACATGCCATGGGGGGAGCTCTGGTGGCCTTAGAGGCAAGAAGTTGCCCTGCAATCCCAAAGGCATGTGGTTCAAATCCACTAGATGATCTGCTGGAGAAGGAGAGGCAGTCTCCTCCATGCCAGTTGAATCCAATTCGAAGGTACACAACAAGGAAGGAGGTGGAAACCCCATAAAACAAAACACCCAAACATGCCACAGGGGTAGATTTGCTGCCTAAAGCTGACGGAGTGGAGTTTCTATCACCAGTGAGCACAAGAACCATGGCTGCTGAGGCTGAGGGAGTAGGGTCATCAGTCTGACGAACTAGAAGAATGGGACTGCCCAGTGCTGAGGGAGCAGAGTTGTTGGACCAGTGGGTTTGGTAAGTGGCACTGAAACGCAGGGCCAAGGGCCTCCACCTAGAATCTGGAGAACATGGCCAAGATCTAGGAGCACAGGACCATTATATGGTTGGCCTCTGAGAACTGAGAATGATTTTTCAAGCCTTGAAAGCTGATGTCAACTGTTCTGTTGTGTTTTGAACTTGCCTGGTACCCATTATCTCTTTCTTCTCATTTCTAATTAAAAGGTCAATATTGTGGCTGTTCCATCACTATACATTAGATTGGTGACAGATGGTTTGAAGTATAAATTTAATAGGTTCACAGATGAGGAATTTTTTCCTCACAATCTATACACCTAAAGTCTCACCCCTGTTTGATTTAGATGATTTGGACAATGAGATTTTGTATGTATGGTTGATTTAAAATGCTTGGGATGATGTGATAGAGTGTGTTTTCATGTGGTAAGGACATGTTTTGGGAGGCCAAACCTGTAGTATTTTTACTTACTTCATATGCATATGAAAGTTCTATAATGAATGAGGAAGACTGAAGAAGAATTGAAAGAAAAATTGATGCCTTTACATTGTGGGGTTAGTGAAGAGTATTTAATATACCGTGGACTGTCTAAAGAACAAACAAGTCTGTCTCAGAAGCAAAGATTGTGAGACTCCTTTTTTATACTTCAGGCATGTTATCAGGAGGGGATAGTCCTTGAAATAGGACCTTGTGTTTAGAAAGATTGAGGATCAACAAAGAAGGAAAGAGACTCTGAAAAAGATGGCTTGACACAGTGACTGCAACAGTAGCTTTAAGCATAGTGGAGATTGTGAGGATTGGGCAAACTCCCAGTTTTGCATGAGTCACTAAGAGTCAGAGTCAACTCTAACAGCACCTAGCAATAACAACACACGAGCAGCATGGGGACCAAAGAATGAAGTATGTCACAGGAGTAAGCGATAACTAAGACACATGACAGTGAAGCATTCCTCTTCTGAAAACTCCTGCATCTCTAAAATTTTACTTTCACCCTATGTTGTTCACAAGTTTGCTCTTGTGGTGACATCTGCCTATTTGAAATTTGATCTATTTGAGATATGCTTGTCTTGAGCCTTCAGGCAGGATTATTTTGCCTTTGGGCACATATTAACTCTTCTTTTAAAGACAAGCAAACTATGTCACTGAAGGCAAAATTAATTTCCTAAAGTCACATGCATCCCTGGGGCAGGGCAAGAGATGCTTATATATTGAGAGGGGTTTGGGGGGGAAATTCCTAGGATGTTATTCAGAATTATGCCAGTAAAACATAACCAATATTAAATAAATGTTAACATTCAATATTAAATAAATGGGCACATTCATTTTATGATCTACCTTTTTTTTTCAGTTTCAACAAAAATATTAGTCAGTTGCACAAGAGCCCACAAAGTAGCAGCAGTATGTGGTTCAAATCCACTATATGCTCTGCTGGAGAAGGAGAGGCAATCTCCTCCTGTACCATTCAAATCCGATTTGATAGGACACACACACAAAATAATAAAACTTTTAAAAAAAATTTAAAAACAAAACAAAAAACAAAAAAAACCCAGAGCTTGGAATTGAGGATGAGGAGCTGGAAAGTGTAGTTGTCTATTTTGCATTGACTTCTAGCTAAAAGGACACAGGATGTGCACATAGATGCATTGAAAGGAAACACCACTTAAAGGAAAATGGGCCTCTGGAAGCTCACGGGAAACATAACCTAGGCAAGAACTTAAGGAGTGGTTTCAGAAGCTTCTGTGGAACAGATGTGTGTGCCAGGAATGGTGAGAAAGAAGAATGCACTGGTAGGCTGTAAAGTGTGAAAGTGGTGAATAACAATTTATATTTGGCTTCTAA